TAGGTAAACCATACAGACTAGGTGTGGCCTCCCCTGGGTACAGTCTGTGGTACAGAAAACGGTCAATAGCCTTGTCCTGCTCCAAAATTTTCAGGCAATGTATTGACTTCTTCTTGTAACCACTTCCTGGATCTCTTTTCAGAGGTTCATAAGTGTTTAAGTCACTAAGGAGTGTCATAACTTTCTCATGATAGTCTTTCTGGTTCAAAATCACTGTGCACCTTCCTTTGTCTGCTGGGAGAATGACGATGTTTTTGTCCTTGCTAAGAGTGGTGAGTGCGTCCCTCTCCTCTCTACTGATGTTGGAAGGTGGTGGTTTGGCATTGCTGAGGCAGGCTGAAACTTTGATTCTGAGCTGTTCTGCCCCAATAGCTCAGGAGCCAGGCAGAAGGAGAAATCTCACACAAGACAGGCTCTAGAGCAATGTGGATATCCTAACTGGGCCTTCCTAAAAGCAGAGAAGAAACCCAAACAGGACTCCAGTCAGCCAACAGGTGAAAAGGAGGAACCCAGACCCAGACCAGTGGTCATTCCATATGTTGAGGGAGTATCAGAGAAACTGAGACGTTTATTTTCTAAACATAACGTCCCAGTGGCTTTTAAACCCCAAAAAACATTACGGCAAAGACTGGTTCATCCCAAAGATCCAGTCCCCCGGCACAAACAGAGTAATATTGTGTATGCTGTTCAGTGTCAGGAGGGCTGTGATCAGTCTTACATCAGGGAAACAAAACAACCACTGGCCAAAAGGATGGCCCAGCACAGAAGATCAACATCATCAGGCCAGGACTCTGCGGTCTACACTCATCTCAAGGCCAGCGGTCACTCTTTCAGGGATGAAGATGTGCACATCCTGGATAGAGAGGAACAATGATTTGAGAGAGGAGTAAAGGAGGCCATCTTTGTGAAAAGAAATCGTCCATCGTTAAACAGGGATGGAGGCCTACGTGTTCAATTGTCCCCCTCTTACAATGCTGTGATTGCTAGTATCACTCAGCCCTCTGTGAACAGTAAACAGCCATCAGTGTGCTAATGATCCATTGTTAGGCTGATGGTCCTTCTTGAGCATGTGATCAGCTGGTTTTGGTTGTCAGCAGCAAAACTGGTTGATCCACTCTGAGAAGGTGCTATTTAAGAGGCTGAGCTGAATACAGCTCCTCAGACTGAGGAAGTCTCTCGGATGAGAGACGCAACGTTTCTACATTTTTTTTTGTTGTTTTGCTTTTTTGAATGTCCAGAGGACCAGATTGAACTTTTTTAGATTTTTCTACCTGGATTATTGAGCATGCATCAGGATAACATGAGATTATGTTTTGGGCAGTTTACAATAGAAATTTGTTACAGAGTGTTTTAGTTTTTATGGCTTTTGCATTGGTACAATACTTTAAAGTAGATATATACGAAGAAAGATAAGTAGAAAAAAACTATAAATCTAGGTTTTAGCATGGCAAATTTACAGCTATGGATGTGAAATTTGGCTAATATTAGTATTACATTTGTAACAAAAACTTTCTTACTTGGAATATTCAAACAAAAAAAAACAAACAGTATAGTTTTAGCTTCAAATGGTAGGTCGATTTCTAACTTTCTATTCACAAACAAGAAAATGTCTTTCCAGAACAGCTGAGTCCCAGACAGTCCCAGAAAAGATGGGTGATTGTCTTCTCAGAGCTTTGGCAGAGTGAACACATTGGCTCTTGAGTTGTAAATTTAATAAAAGGTTGTTTTTTCTGACTGTTTGAATTATTATATAAAGTGTTTTTGATCACATGGGACGCCTGAGAGGAGGGTTTACTTGCAGAATTATAATGAAGTGTTTTTGCAGAAAGGAATGTTCTTATCACTTGGGACTTAAAAGAACTGTGATGAAGTGTTCTTTGCTTATTACTCGGGAAGCCTGAGAAGTAGGATTTTGGCCCATCCTCCTCACACGCTACCTTGAAATTTCTGAGTTTCAAGTGAGCATGTTTTGTTCACTGGGAAACGCTCTCATGTGATGTCGAGAGAGAGAATAAAAAGAAGAAGCACTTAGACCAGGTTGGAGTCTGCTGTGAGTCTACCGATCGGGACGTCCAGCTGTGTCAGTGTTCTGGTTCTACCTAGGCTGTCTGGCTCTCCAGCCATGTGTCACGGTGAGAGCTTGTTTATCATCGATACTTATGATTGTACATCTGTGGTTGTACCTTGCTTTGCTTGTTATGCTGTAATCTGTGGCGAAATAATAAAGACACTATTATTTTAGCAGAATAGTATCGGAGTATTTTCTTTTTTGTCCATTGTGCTGATCACTCTTCCGAATCCTGGTTTTATTTAAATAAATATCCCAAAATATTTTGGCGTCACGAACAGGATTTGGAAAGAGGACCGCATAATGTTCAAAAGAAAAGAGAAAACGAGTGACAAAGTTGTGCCGGGATGGAACAAGTCCCTGTATCAGTTGAAAAAAAGTGAAAATGTTGTCAAAGAGAAAGTTGTGCCGGGATGGAGCAAGTCCCCGTATTAGTTGATAGCGCTTTGTTTGAGAGGCAGTGGGGGACGCCCCGAGCCTTGGAATGATTACTATACTCAGGAAGAGGTTGCCTACTTGTCTAAAATATATAAACAACAGACTGGAGAACCCACGGATGCCTGGGTAGCTAGGCTGTTGGATAAAGGTAGAGGTCAGGTAGGAGTGAATTTAGCGTACCGACAGGAAGTCAGAGCTTTGCAAGACTCGAGACCTTTGTTTGAAGTTTATGCAGAGGCAGTCCGACAGATGTTTCCTGGAGCATCGGATTGGCCTGAATTACAGGGGCATTGGGTGACCTTAAGGGAATGTGTGCAAAGACTGGTTTGACTGTGTGTAAGGGATGCACTGGCTGTGGGTTTGGCAGCAGATTATCAAGTGCATGTTGTTCCAAAGGCAGTGAGGGATCAGTTGATCAGAACAGCACCATCTCATTATCGATCTGCAATACTTACCGTAATGTTGGGTGCTCCTGACGCTTCTATGGCCGAAATTCGAAGCCGGATCATGGAACTAGGTGCTCTTGGAGATTGGAACACAAAGAGGGCTGAATACCGTGAAAAAACATTTAATCAACCCATGGGTCGTGGGCCAAGAAGGCACAGCCGAAATAACACACAGGGACCCACTCGCTCGGCTTTTTGGAGGGGATTGATAGAGGCAGGAGTACCCCCAGCTGAGATGGATGGTTTGCCAACAGAAGAGCTGAGGGCTAGATGCCATTATTTGGATTGAAAGGGCCAAAAGTAGAAGGTCCAGATGTTGACATCAACCTTCTGAAAGCAGATATTGCCAACATTGAACATCAAAGGTCCAAAATTAGAGAGCCCAGATTTTGACATTAAACTAAAAGGCCCCAAACTTGAAGGTGATATTGATGTTAAAATGCCAAAGGTTAAAGGAGAAATGAAAACACCTGATGTTGACATTAAAGGTCCAGACATTGACAGTGAGGGCCACAAAGGAGGAATTAAAATGCCTAAAGCCAAGATGATTGAAGGGAAAAAGGGTGGATTTGAAATGTCTAAAATAAAAATGTCATCAGTGCACTTAAAGGGGATGTGTTAAGCTGACTGCTTTGAAGGAAGTGCATCATATGTTGTTTTTAACTGGTTCATCTGCAGCTGAAGTTTGACGGCATCTAAAACAACCCGAAGTGTCTAAAAACATCTGAGATGAAAAAATTCACCATATTGTTTTGCAGTTGTTTCACATTTAAAGCAAAAGTTCAGTTCTTTTCAAGAGGGGTTCTGTGGAAAAGTTATGAACAAGTAATATCTTACCTGCTGTACATAGATTTTAGAACAACCTCAGTTTGGAGAAACTGATGAGCTAATAGTCTGAGTGGGGCCAAGACCAGAAGAAGGATTTCTTTTTTAATAAATAAAAGTTAATTTTAAATGTAATTTAAAAAAAAAGAAAACCATTATATTGCTGACACTTTTGTATGAAGTGGTTATTTATGAAGAATTGTCTGATTATTTGTAGAACATGTGGTGCAGCCCGGGGTAATTCCTGCTGGAACAATAACTGTAGAACAAAACGGATGGAGATGAA